ATACGAACTTGGCACAGATGCATGCGCAGTCACTGAGTGACAGTCGTGGATGTAACTGCTTGCGTGCTTCTACCTACCCTCTCAATCTTTCTCTTTTCATTCATTTAAACAGCTTTATCAGTATGAGCATAAGGAGTACAACACTTAGCTATCATTTAACGATAAATTAGGGTTTAATCTTAGCTCGGCGCTGCTTCTATAAATTATGACATTATTTTATTTTTGAGTAGGCTAAAGCTCCCAATGATTTCTTGGGATGACTGTTATTTTGAAGACATTTTTGAGATAGATATCCGTGCAAATCTCAGCTGAACCCAAAACAGCCAGCATGCCGAATATCTGTTTGGTATTTATAAACATATATTTCCTTTATATTTCACTGGCAAAACATTGCCTAGGTAGATAAAGTGCTGGTCATCCCACAGTGCTCCAAATACAGATATTGGTAACGATTTATACTCTTAAATTATTGGATCCTCCGACATCTGCTCGGTAAAAATTGTACAAAAACAAATGTCAGAAAATTGAGTTCGGAGTTTTTGGAGGTAAAAGTTCCATTGCAGAGTAAATATGCTGCAACTACTTAAAAAACTTTGAGGGTAAATGTAATTTGATTGGGCATATCATTTATACGCCGCTACGGTAGCCGAAAAATCCTGACTTCTAATGCACTACCTGGAATGCCGGATTGACATCCTTAAGTAATTTTTCTTGTATTTGCCGTCGGTACTCTTGTTCTAAAAATAGGAAATATACTCATTCGTCCTATACCTCAGACTCAAGCTCTCCCCACTCGTATCATAGATGATGCAAAGCATTAGAAAGGCATCCACATCAAGAGCGATACTAGAAATCAAAGCCTTAGCACTTCTATTAGCGAAATGCTTATGAAAACTAATGGGAATTAGTCTTTTAGCTTTTGCTTTTGTTATTCATTCGATATGATTCCGCATCCATACCAACATGTAGGTTGATGGCTTTTTATCAGAGTAAGCCCTTTTAGCCTTTCGATTGGCTGTAACCCAGGTCACATGGCATCGATTAGTGAGTGATGCGTACTCAACCTACCCAATCACAACACTCCTCGTTGCGCGGCAATATGGCTCGCGGAGACATTTATAACAGCTCACCTTTTGCATACTCACATCACAATGCCGCGATCTCAGAAGTCGGACGAAAAGGCACCTAAGAAGAGCAGGGGAAAGAGAAGCGGTAGCCAACCGAGCAAAGGCTACGAATTCCAAACGGAGGTGACCTTTGTTAACCATGGAAAAGTTCCAAAGGGGACCTCTTTTTCAAGAGAAGACGTTAGGGAGCACTCCTTTCCGTCAAAAAAGCCAGATAAGGCAAAAAAGGCCTCTGCAGTAAAGGTGTTTTCAAAAGGGATCCAATTCAAGGAAAAAGTGGTTTACGGCGGTCGAACTAAAAAGATCCTCGAGTATGACAGCATCAAGCTGCTGGAGCAGTTATCCTCCGATTGTCGTATGGTCTTTGTGAACTATGAAAATGCCAAGAATGGTTATTTCTTGGTACTAGGTCTGTTGGATGCAAATCAAGTAATAAGACTCATGAGTTTGGTGAAGGAAGATAATCCAAATGCGGAAATTCGCTGGGCTGATACACGTGCTTCCAGCAGCAATGAAAAGTCCATTCAGGATGATGTATTAGAACCCGGTAAAAGTGATACCACAGATCCAACCACTTACCATGAATCTGAGCGTGCCTACCAGCGAAATTCGTTACCTTCTCTTTCTAATAGGTCTGGGTCTTACAGGGCTAGACCATGGACTGCCACAAGCTCCTATATCTGCGCAGACCCTCACTTTGACGATGGAACTGTCTGTTCTAGCAAGACATTGGACGCTTTTACTAGTCAAAGAGACAAACCTCGTAGGCATTCCCGTCGGCGCAGTAGTTACAACTCTCTTGACCTCTCCAGCGATGATGGGTTTCACCTAAGTGCTAACGGACTAAAAAGCCAATATTATTACGTCGGACCCAGTGATGAGGAGGACTCCATCTCGAAAATTGTACACCATGGAAAACCCAGGCACAAGAAATCTCATCAACATAAACATCGGCATTATGCATTGGGCGATGAGGTTAGTGTTTCTATGACGCCCAGCTCAATTTTCTCGAATGTCGATTACTATTCCACTGATGGTTTCGGTACGGTGAAGGATAGTTCTGTGAAGGGAACCCCAACAAGAAAATCAAATACCACCCGGAAATCCTCTTATCGTCCGAAGTCCAGACAGCTGCCGCTTTCAGAGGCGGAGCGAAACAAAGGTAGTTGGCACAGTGACGTGCTTTTCCTCACTCCCACGAAAAATGGCGGTGTCAAGGTTTCTGCTGACGGACCTGTGATGCTCTACACCGCAACGCGGGCTAATGTAAACCGTAATGACAGCAGTTCCTCTGATGAAGACAGTACTTCAGATGGAGAAGGTGACTTCATCTACTCTTCTGACTCAACACTTACTTTGGAAGGCCCCGTTAGAGATCCTCTGCGTCTCGACTTGGAGGCTAACTACACTAATGGACGTTAGTGAACGTAGCACTCCCATTAATTTCAGTTTGTATGTTTTCATTTGCTATACTCTCACCAGCTCCCCTTCTTATCCTTCCATTTTGATTTTGTACATGGAAAGAAAGTCTCAGTTATAAGACTCAGAACCTTTGGACCAATTTAATTAAAGGAAAGTATCGGTCACCGCGATGTTTCCTTCTTGACAACATTGTACTTCCTAATTTAAGCACAGCAGAAAAGTCTGTAACATGCAGAGATAGTTACTCAACTATTTTTGAGTGGGATATCTTAAGAGAAGTGAGATTTCACTAATTTTGGCTTAGACTATTCTCAAGTTATATCGCCTGCTAAGCGGCCCCGTTAGACTTAGGCAAACAAGAGCTACTGGATTTGCGGTGTCCGTGAACAAATAATAAATAACATCGGATTGTTGCACAAAAATTAATCTTACAGCTTAGTTACACCTAGAACATGATTATCTCTATTTAAAGTTCACTAATTCTCTAAAAATCATCTCGTTACTAAGTCATCCGATTAATCAGTCTCCCGTTGAACACTTAAATCAAGGTCATTATCACACGCCACATTCAGTTGGGTAGTTTTTACGTATCAATCGTTAATGCACCCACATGAGTGGGCACAGACGATTCTGATTGGTCGTTCCTATCAGTGCAAATGCTTAAACAACTGATACCCGATACCAATCCCTTTGTTGTGATTATTTCAGCCTCACTTTATCCACCAGTATACCTAAGCATTTTTGTCATTTAAAAGTTGTCGGTCGAAAAGCTGTCATGTTTTTCAGCCTTTAAAGTGATCACTTCAAGGAAAGTTTTGTCATTAAGGGCTGTGATTTTTCCATTGCCCTAGTTATATTTGATCACCAGATAAAATCACCAATCTGTTAATTGCTTTGGAGGCGCAATTTAGGGAAGTACGTTGGATTTACACACATTGGAGTGCTGCTTGACACTAACGTTAAGATCCGTATTTGTCTAATGTGTAGTGTTCTTTATCAAACGATTTTGCCACCTCAAAAATGTGGTGGCATAAGTATTTAAGTATCACGTGGACTTTGCCGCCTCCGGGTATTCAGTTCTACATGCTAAAGCAAAACTGAGAGCCAACTGCATTCCAATCTCAATGTAGTTCGTCTAAAAATATGTAAAAACACTGCGATCATTCTATCTCTGTTGCAGCATGAAAATGCTTTGTCCGAAATTAATAAAAAGAGGACTCTCTACCCCAGAATAAATCAATTCCAGCAGCCTAGACTTTTGATATTGACAGCAAGTCCACTTTACCTGAGTGCACATCTACATTAGTGCAACACACAGAGCTTAAACGGATGGAAATTTTATGTTCTTGTTTGTGTCAACCTTATAAAACGTACCGCCTTCTGCGCATGCACATGTCGCCATCGGATAACCCATCACAAATAAATATAATTGATGTAATAACGATCCAGCCTGCTGATTCTGAAATCTCTATCATGCCGAATGTCACTTCTAATAAGTGTAACAAATTGTGATTGTCGTAAGTTCGGAGAACGCTCTACCAATATGACTTCATTCTCGGGAATTTCGGATTAAAGTCTTGAAATGGGATTCAATGATTTCAAACTATTATGCTGTTCTACATTGGATAAAACCAGTGCCATGGTCTAAATTAACTACAACATGACGAAAGTAATTTTACTCATACTTTGAAAAAGCCATGGATTGACGATTGGCATTCATGCTTTGTCCCTAACGCCCTCAACAAATTAAATAGCGTGTGACAAGCCACTTGTGAATTAAATTGAAGCAGCTTATGCAACGATTTAACATTGTAAGTACACCCAAGCTCCCGTACAAATTGATATTCCAATGGATTTTATTGTACAGTTTGACACTTAAAGGTGTATAATTTGGCTTAGGTAGGTGTAATCAATGCAGAGTGAGTACTATTCACGGTTTTGTCTGTATTTCTTCATTAATCTTCTCCAATTTCCCCTAAATCTATCGTGTGTACACCAGTAAATTGAAAATGGAGCCAAAATTTCAAAATTGTTTGATGGACCAACCAAAGGTGAAGTAATTCGAGATTCTCAAGCCCTACAACGAATTGAAAAATCCAAAATATCTTATTAAAATTCCAAGACACACGTAGTAAGGAATCGTAATCTATTCACCATTTCCGAAATTGATCTCTTGGTGTTGTCCAAAATCGCATAGACCGATAAAACATTTTGATTTCCCGATTTGCCCGGAAAACCTTGCGCTGTTGTCTCAGGATAGTAAATCTATGTCAGGAACAAATGCGTTCCTTGAACCACTCAAATATTGTAGTAATTAAAACTGGTCATTTCGGTACGATTCTCGGCTACAGAGTGGAAGACAATAGGGAGAGTCAAGTAAATTTAGGACAAAATAGAATGATACTAGTAAATTTGAAACATAGAAGTATGACTGAAAATATGTTGCACTATACTATTTGTATTCCCTCTATGATTAAGTTGAAGTTCCAAGGTAATCAAAGCCAATTAATTTGAGCAAACGCTAGTAAATGATGCCGGAATGCATAGTCATGTCTGTTCTTCTCTCAGCAGCCATAAACACCTTTTGTGTCAAGGTGTCATCATCAATCAGATTTATTTCTCTGCGCACCTAGAATTGAAAAACAGCACTGTCACTCCTAAATAAGTTGCCTCTAAAAGCGCTATAAAGTGCGAATGATTTTTCACCTGCTTTGTGGTCAAACTGCTTTTTTTACAGAAACGGTATATAAAAATAAAGGTCAGTCACGTAAATCTGTTGGCGTAACGCAAAGCTCGCACGAGTCGTTGACTACTTGTCGTTCAATAAGTTTTTAAGCATTCTGCACTAGGCATCATATTTTTACTCAATTTTAGACCATGTAGATGCATGCTTTTTGCAAGAATTTATTTCATAATCTAAACTTCTAGCACCAAAATATAAAAAATGCCTTATCAACCCTATTCATTGAGAAATCCTTATGAGATAGCGGGTCTACCAGGACAAGTAGTCCAAATCTAACATATCATGCAAAAAACACCATTATGATTATATTATTTTTAAAGGGACGAATCAGTAAAGTCTCAAGAACATCTATTGAATCACAAATCTTAAGTACCTTAGGATTAATCGAAAATGATGTCTATCTAGAACCACCTAACCACTTATAAGCTATAGAAGGCAAAATCTCACTCGATTCATTTTTGGTTTCTTTGGGAGCGGATGACCTTCTGTAAGCTCTGTTTCTGGAACTATTCGTATTTTTCTGTCCTCGTTTTTCGCGATTCCTGTTAAGATGTGCACATGACCTAAATAAAGCAAAGTTGATGGGATCATCGAATGAATATTTTTTGACTTTATTGCAAATTGACTCATAAAATTGCCTGTGTTGTCAATGCTCATGAACTCCATTTGGTCTGTTTTCTCGTTCAAAAATACGAAGCCCATGTCACGGTGTCTGAATGTTCCCCCGGAGTACGCTCTCGAACATTGTACATAAAGGCGATAGCAGCGTTTCATTTAGACTTAAGATGATAGATTAAAAGCAATTTTGGTATAAGTAAAAGAAATAGTATTATTAGCTACTCAGTACTCATGTTACTCTTTTGAAAGCAGAATAAGGGTTACAATACTTCGATCACGCCAATTCAAGGGCATTTTTGTTACCTACATGATTACCCTTCAATCTTACTATCAAACAGCACGAAGAACTGTCTGATACAGTGTAAGATTGGACTGAACGCATGAAAAGCTTACCAAAACCCTTTTAATGGAAAGGGTTGTGAGATCTACTCAAAATGTGGAAATGGCGCAAAGATATGAATTCAGAGGAGTTGCGGAAGGCGTGTTGCCACTTTAAAGACAATCAAGTTTGAAAGAACATTAACACCAAGATTTACACCATTTACTGTCATTCTACGAGAATCACAAGCATAAGCAACAACTTTGTTTTAGTAAGTACTTACATGTTACCTAATTACATTCTGGGGCAACAATTCGTGTATTATTTGCCTTTTTCACCGGGGAATTACTGACTGATTTAGAGTTTAGGGGAATTCCAAGATCTTGAAGTTGCACCCCTTTTATAAATACAACTTCTAATTGTTTTATAGCTCTAAAAAGACTAACTTTAAGAAATTATACTCTATTCTAACTTAGTACTTCATCGTTAAAATTGTATTCAGAAGTGACGTTTGCGTGAAGCAGACTATTTCACGCATTTTGGGAGGCTGGTCTGCAAGGTAAAGCGGCAGCTAAGTTAGTATTCAGCTGCAGATATTCATATCACTATTACTTTATGAATACTTTACTATTAAGGCCAAAAAACTTCCAATGCCACCTAGGTTTTCGGAATGTTTCGCTTGTGCTATAGAGTTGGTTTTCATCCAATCATGCTTGGTCTCGGATATGCAGTTCAATAATTAGTAAGGTTTCCTTGGCTTTACCACTCAAGTTAGGCTAGTAAAATTTATCCAAATTTATTTCAAAAAGGCTTGAGAAAATCTCATGTGTTTATTTTTAACCAAATTTGCATCAACGTTTACAGAAATGATGCCCCATCTGACTCTTTGAGCTAAACATCTGACTGCATTAAAAGTACGGCACAAACCAGTTTGGACAGAACTTCAAGACGGCTAGATGCGCCCAAGCGATTCTCTTACCTGTACCAAAACGATGATTGTCCAATATGACCAAACGATAAGTTCTTGGAGCATGAATAAGTGGTGTGAGTGTCGAGACCGATTGAACCCTCTCCCTCCCATTTGCCAATCAGTTTAGCGAATGGCTGCAGAGAACGGTGGATCGGGCAGACTGCTGTTACACTGAAGCTTTTGTCAATTACTCACGATTGGTTAATCGCATAAATCCGAAGATTGCTTGAAAATTTATTGACCTAGCGTAATCCAACAATGATCTCGTGCACTAGTGTGGCACTGTAATTTACAATTTCATACGATTAAGAAAGCGAACTATAGAACAAATGAGATTTTACTGCAAGGTACAGCAAGTATTGCTGCGTTGCTTTTGTGCTAACTGTAGGAGCAAAGTGTCACAGGCAACAAAAGAGCTACATTTTGACCTACAATGTTATACAAAGCATTGGTATTTTTAGTTAACGTTCATTTACGCATCCCTCGGCAAAATAAAGGATTTATGCTTTACCCTTATTGCACTTATAAGGTTCAGTGAAGTTATTTATAAATCTAACTTCCTAAAAAAATGTGGCTAACAATGGATTATCATCACTGCATTAGTCTATCATCAATGTTTGAGATATCAAGAGTGTTGTAAGTGCCCCATATGTCAAAGGAATTAAAATACATTAAAACAGGCATGCATGTTGAAAGTACAATAACGACTTACGTGGAGGATGGTTCATTGCAAAATGTGGTATTGGAGCTTGGTTGTGACGCCTGAATTTATGAAAATACTTCTGTGATCTGATTGGATTACTGAAACATCTGTAAGTGACGCCATAAACATCAACATATCGGATGACCTTTGCAGGTGCTCACATTTTCACTTTTTAAATTCACAACATCCCACTATCGATGATATCTAAATGCATTTATTCCACTTGCTATACCTGGTAGTTCAGTAATATTAATGGTAAACTTTGCAAACAAGGTAAAGATTATCACTTGACATTTACGAATTTGAAATATCTTTATTTTTATTCTATGCGTTCCCAGCATTCTCTTGCCAATTGCGTGACTAGCTAATGTGCATTGTTATTAAATTTTTAGCAGAGGAAGTTTAATACGTCTAAAAATGTGAGGATATCCACTACTACTGACCTTCACTAATTTTATTACGATTCTTTCCATGTTTCAGTCGTTTCCAATTTCCTTGGTTATAATACCCAATGTGGAAATTGTATACAACGTCATTTCTTGATAATTCTCAAATAACACTCCAGTGCTGTCTACTCGCTGACATCTAGCCTCGACTTTCCCTATTTAACATGAAAGGTTGAAATCGTTAACTTCCCCGATCAGACGATGCTTTTATTGTTTATTATAATGTCGAATTCAGTGAGGGTGTTACCGGCTGTTTGACAAAGTTCTACATTTCTCTAATGGAATCAATAAATATTGGTATTGATCTTTAAAAGGGTAACCTATAGGAATCCATTGCCACTCACAAATTTTCAAGGTGAGATAAATGAATTCCATCAACTTTAATATGTTATATACAATCAGAGCACGCTAATTAAATGGGGAATTCGATTTTGAGCCATTAACTTCATCGATTCACTGCATAGTAAATATCCATATGTAGGTTTCAAACGTCAAGAAAATAATTGAGTAGGCAGTAAAATAAGTATGAAAGCGATTCACTTTAACACTTTCGATAAAGTGAAATTTAAAAATCCTTAAGGATTGAGGAACATCTCAATGGCACTTTAATTCTTTTGTTTGTTATTGCCTAGGTTGCATTTATTTGGCATCCCGTTGTCAGGAGTCAAGGGCGACGCGGCATTAAACAGAGAATGCGAAGGTGGGGTCCTACTCATGGCGTCTTCTATCAAATAGAAATCCCATTTTGTTCCTAAATGCTGTACTGCTTATGCAAGTAAATTTCGCCAGTTGCTTTCTTCTTATGTATTAAAAGATTATTTGATATTCTCTAAACAAAAATCGTTGTCTATATATTTCATTTTTACTAATAAATACTCTGGCTAACAGGGTTGCACATAAATAAACATTAAAAATCACTCTCTACACCCTTCAATCTATTTCAATTCCCATCATTTTGCCAGCACTCAAGTGTAAAATTCAATGGTTGGTACACATGAAAAATGTGCTTTTGCGATGTTCATCTTATTTATAAACGACTCACTATGCATAAAATTTGCATCAAAATGTTTTCCACTTCAAATCCGTTGAAATCTACTTCCGAATCGCATGACCACATAAACAAGCCACCGACTGATTATTAAAAGTCTATCGAAAGCTGGTGTGCGATGGACCCTTTAAATTCCGGTTTCACTATTTATTGATGTTACTGTACCCACGTCGATAATTATTTCACACGGTACATGAATAGAGAGTAAAAAAAATGCGCACAATAGAGTAGCATCAACTTACGAATTACATTAAACACATTATAGAAAAACCGAGTTGGTTTTATACTCTAAATACAGGCCCTATAAGAGCTTAGAAATACAGTAAGATCTACGAGGAAAGGTTGAGTCGTTCAACGGCAAACACCGCTCTACTGAGTGGGACGTCAGAGGCAAAATGGGACACTAACAGACCCATTCGTGTGGAGCGCAGTACGATGCTGTCACCGGGTGTTGTAAGGGCGCCCTCAGGTTGCAGAAATGCCACGCACGCCAAACTGGAGAGCAAAATCGGGTGTGGCACTAAGACTACATCAAGCAGCAGAGCCAAGTGGATATTTATAATGCCTATAAGCTCAAATTTAAAAATTCTGCAAGAATAAGCTCCTTGTGGTTTCGATAAATTAGCAGATTTTAGAAGCCCGTTTACGCAAAACTGCCAAAGTAAAGCACACAAGGAATATCATCGAATTGAAACTCTTCTACGAGCAAAAGTAGACATTGTTTCAAACAAAAGGGTATGACAGTGTTGGATAAAGAATTGTCAGCAGCAACATCGAGCACATATGTTGTTCCAGCAAAAAAATACTAAGTACCGTTTTTCAATTAACCATATTTTCAATGACCAAATTTCCGTCCTTTCAAATGCTTACCTTCCTTCATGACTAAATTTGAGGGGTTTGAAGACACGGAGTTGTGGCTTTTCACAGACAGCGCCCAGTTCCTGCTGCCACCACTGCTGATTAGAGGAGAAGCGGTCGTCCTCCGGGTAAGGCACGGCTAGGAAAAGGCGCATATCTCGCAGAATTCGCAGGCGGTGTACCTCGCTGGTGTCGTGGAAGATGTCCTGTAGCTGGACAAGGCTGGTGCCGCCTCCTCTTAGACTAAAGTGACGCAGACTACCTGCTTGCATCACCGTCTCCACTTCTCTTCCCGTCTCGCAACACAGTAACAGCGCAACACCTAACGCAGGACCGGTGGGACCAACCAAACAGTCTGTTTGGAGAAGCATAGATCAGTCAGTCGAATTTGTATTCATATAAGTATACTAATGCATGAAAGCCCCATCTCAAAGTAACACAAATCATTATATGCCTGGTCGTTACAACAAAATGCACCTGTCCTTTCAAGGGTTTCAGCACGAACGCTGTTTGATTGCAGACCTTAAAACCGTGCAGTTGTAAAGCTTATTTGCTATAATGGAGCACTCAAAGCTATCTGCCTTATCTTAATGGGAATATCGCGATGCCAATGCCAAACTAGCATCACTTTTTTATTAAACCACAAATTAAGATGTGGCTTGAATGATAGAATTTCTGCGTGTGCAGTGCTGCAGACATCAAATGTTTCACACATCGACTTGTTGTACTGAATATAAATAAGTACAGGCAGAAATAGGAGCATTCACATTAGCAACCCATTAAAGGTATATCACTTGAACTTTTTTCCTTCTACTGCTTGTGTTACACAGAATTTTATGGATTTATGTATCATTTTAAGTCGGAAAATTTCCAGGTTAGAGTGTATTTCTACGTATTGGCACAACTGTTGGGGTGTTGGCGCACACTTTCAAGTGATCTGACCTGTAAAGCAAAAGTGCTATAAAGTCGAAAGTATCAACTGTGGGCCGCAACTATCAAAACGAAAATCTGCCTTAAATCCTTTTGTGCGGTGTCAGGTGTCGCACCAAGGTCATTCTCAGCTCAAGTAGCCAATATCAGCACTGAACACTTGGGTTTCAGGCTGACTTGTACACAAATAGTTAAGTGGCTAAGTGCGCGAAAACGGCTGTCACTCAGCAGAGATTCAATTTTGTAATTTGTAATTTGCGTAAATCCATGTGTATGCGTGTGAAGAAGTCTTAGTCATTTGCTAAAGACATACGGTCGGTTAGAATAAATTAATATTAATTACACTGAATAAAAAATAGCGCATTTATTTATACAATCTCTTTCAGTTTTAATGCTATCTATGCGTGGTCACCCGGACTTTATATTCCTTACTGGGGCTCAAAAATGTGGCCTATTCTTCCATACATCTGCTGTAATTATTCATCGTTGTGATCATTTGGCACTTGATCATTGCTGTGTGAAGGCTACAAATGTGTTGCAGCATAAACATATAGGTCATTAGCATCGTGTCAACTTTGTAAGACACAAAACATCACAGGAAAATAAAGATTCCTACTTTTACAATCTAAAATTTTGGATGGAATATCATAGTTCACATCTAAACAGAACCATATTTTCGCTCTAACCTTGTTGGTATATTCACTGCTAGTTGGTCGAAAACAAACATAACTCTGCTCCAGCGTCGCTCACTATTCGCAAAGCCTTACCATAAAATGAAGAATACGTCTGTCATCGTGAAGCAAATGAACCCACCATGCTTGAATACAGTATTTCGGTCCTGTTCAGTTGTCTGAACTTTTAAGGTGCTAGATTCACTTAGTTACTCTGCTACTTACGATGTGAATACAAATGTAATAATATCAACATATCACTGGAGCCCAAGATCGGGTATCATCCGTAGCCATTACAAGCACATTTTACGCATCAGCTCTACTGCTTTGTGCATGTAAACAGCGAAATACGATAATCAAATACAAATAAGATATCCTTAACTCATAAAACCGATGCTTTAGCCGACCTTCTAGCTGATCGAGTTCAAAACATCAATCCGAACTATCATTTGTCTTTGGACGGACAGCTTACTGATTAATTAATGGTAAAGCATCACAAAAATAAAGATTTATCTGAGTTTCGTCAAAAAGAATCCCAAAAGTATTAAATTTCATAAGTCCGTTGTTTGAAATTGAACAGATTCATCTAGAAAAGTCGTAACGAAGCGGGAAGATCAGAAACTCTTCTGTACTGGTATATCTTTGTTTCCGGGATCGGATTTCGCCCTCAAATTACAAATACAAAGCACAAAATGATTTTACATATGTAGCACAAGAAGTGGGTAAAAGTACTCACTTTTCTTATCACTAAAATATCGCATTCGGTTGGAACTGACCAAACTAATTATTATCACAAATACTCGCAAAAGTTTACTGGCTAATCTCTGCCATTCGTCGTGTCCAGAACGAAAAAAAAACGTTCACTTGATGGCGTTAAGGTAAAAATAAAAAAAGACCCCAAAAATATAGCGACAGCATTTATCAAAAAGATAATGGCAGTTCTGTCGAGAGAACCTAGCGACTAGTGATAAAAATATGCCGATGACTCAATTATTCGTATGAAAGTGATTCACGCATGTGGGAGGGGGACGGTGCTCGCCTACTCTTTCCTCTTGGTATGCCGAAATTCAGTACAAGAGAGCATGAATATTAGACTGGCATTTTCTGTCTTTACTATATCCCTCTGCCTTACTGTGAGAAAACAAGTCAAACCTCTTCAAAACACACTTCTTATTCTGATGCCACGCCTTCCACTTTGCAACCAAATGCAAGCACGCCCTTTTGTAGGCCATCTCAGATTATGTTTCTCAGCCGTCAAAGTCATTAGTTTGTTTTGATACCTCCTTGTTATTATTCAAGACATGAGTTAACATTCTGGCATTATTTAACAGTCATCCATTTGATGGGAATCGCTACTGAAACAAGTGAAATAGCTTAGTCACTGCTCCACTGTCCGCTTATCTACGCAAATGATATTTGTATCTTTTCAGTACATAGAGGTTAGATCGATTAGCTTGATACAAGAAAAATGAGATTGTTCTACATGCAGGAATACAGAGAAGCAAGCAATAAACCTACTTTAACAGGCCTCCCAGACCCTGTGATTCTGACACAGAGACAAATAATAACCTTAATAAAATCCGCCACTTTAGCGGGGCATAATATAAAAATTTTGCTATTAATGCGCGATGGATTCTTAAGGCAACCTCCTTTTGATATTCAAACTAGCATTGCGTGTAAATAAGTGATAGAAAGGAGTCATTAATGACGTAATTCTGCCATTGTAAGCAATGAGTGAGCGGTGCGTGATGCCTACACCGGATTACCTAGTGAAATGTTGATCATCTTAAGGATCACTGCATTTGACGACAGAGGAGGGACCTCATTTAATTAAGTTCTCACGAAAGTGTAAATCAGCACAGGGGAAAGAATGTGCCCAAGCGAAGGAGCAAAACGCTGCTAGTAAAATTAACGAACATGAACCTACTGATATGGCATGTTTTATTTGATTCTTCCTTTACCAACAAGTAATTCAGACTTGAACCCATTTCAAAGCCTTATACCTGAATATTGGAAAGAAATTCGAACGAACCGAGAGCAGGATACATGATTCTACAATGGAATTTCCGAGTCTCAAACAACATTGATCCAGCCTTCTGATGCGTAGGTCTACGTTTCTAAGCCATGAAATAAAATACACGCACAACCACCGTTTTGCTACTTTTGAAATGCAGAAAATTACTCTCCGAAGGAACTTATCCAGTAATAAATCTAAATACAAAGCGCTCCGGGACACCCTAGCTTTTAGCTTCTTAAAAAGGTCAACATGCTAGGTTAAATTTCATTCACAGGAAAACTGCTACAGTAGTAAAGTCTATATTTTATGTCTGGCAGTTTAGAAACAAAACGGCTCGCAGTAGAAAAAGTCCATGCACTCATGCTTACCACCGGTAAGGGTGTAGGAAAAAACGTTACAATGTGAAGTCGGACTCAATTGATGCCTCACTGTCAGTTTATCAGCGCGCTTCTACGTTATAATACGAGTTCAGCACGCCACATTGAAGTTGGGTAAGTAACCACAACTGGGTCCGCAAAAACCGATGGGGCGTCATGGTCACCGTGCCTGCCAACAAAGTGTACATCCTAGTCTCTGACTCAGGCACACTTGCCGTGAATGCATTTGTGTACACAAACACAGAATCGCATACAGTCCACTGATTTAGAGTGAATGAATGGGAAGAACAAGAGCGCACTAACCTCCAACCTCTCTACCCGATGATATCTGAAGCAAGACGCGTAAACAAACACTAGCGTAGCCATGTAAAGATGCATCTTACGTGCACACGAGCACGTAGTCACCAACAGATCAACAGAAACCCCAACACAGGCCTACCAATCGATTGAATGCGGCTACGCAACCAGAAATATAAGCATTGGCCACTC